TCGCCTAAACTGATCGTTTGATCATTGCGAGAGGTCACAAAAAGGGATCCCAATACTATCCGGCACTACGTTGGCATGGATTGCTTTTAAACATTCTTACCTATTACTTTATTATGTGACTCGACTAATGAGTAGCATACTCCAGATTTGCATTGAAAAATGAATCCATCGCTTGGCCGACGTCAAATGATGTATCGCGATGCCCCAGGAACACCAACCCACTCGGAACCGGAGGACAGCTGGCCCGACATAGAATAGAAGGTCTATAGTGTTGCGTCCTCGTCTTTCCGGATGGTGACGGTTTCTCTTTATTGTGTCTTTCTTCAGTAAAAAAGGGAGGAAGAGTGTAATGATTTTTTTGTACTCCTAATATTATTTTTGCTTTCATGCGATGTGTGTAACAGCAACCAGTTATGGCGCTCTCATGAACTCGGAAGCCACAGAGCAAGGAAAATATGCCCTCGCAAAGGAGCAGCGGGCGCATCGCGATGAGATGCGCGAGGAGTATGCGGCCGAAATGAAAACGAAGTACGCAAAAGAGATATTTGAATGTGCGCCCAAGGAATTGAATGTTCGGATCATTCATTGTTTCCTTAAGAGCACCGACAATATTGAAAAAAAACTAAATTCCAAGGAGCATTTTTCGCTTGGAGAGCAGCACTCTCCTCATAGCCTGGGACTGCATCTTGCTTGTCGCCCCCACGACGGAAGGCTGCACGACCAATATCGACTTTGACCCTCTTCTCGAGAAACTTGAACTTTCAATTGTTTACCTGTCGTTATACACTATCAATTTTACAGAACATCCATATTAAATTATGTTTGTCTTTGCTTGTTTCCAGAAGGAAGTTGGTTTTATAGCTTGTGTTAAGTGTTCATTACGTTCAAGTTACCAACGAGATTGTCAATTGAGATGCAAAGCTCAAGGAAGATCGTCCAGAACCAGTGTATCTGTAGTACCCTCATGAATTTACCGCTCGAAGGGCGGGTGTCACCTGCCTTGCCACCCACTAATACGGTGTACATTGCACCAGCCACCGCAGAAGGATCGTAACGGGAAGGAGGCCAGTCTTCTATGTACTCCTCAGTTGCCCCTTTATCTCTTTTCTTATTTATGTCTATGTGAATGGATATGTATAAGACAAGTCTCGTAAAGTCTCAATACCGCCGCAAATCAGTGACTGGCTTCACGAAGCTATTACATGATAGATTCTTCAACCTACTCGCAACTCCCCCTTTCATGTGTGTGTATTGTATTTTGGGATCGCTGGCATATCTCAGCCCCCAGGGAAAGTTGAAGCTAACTTAGCTCTTTGTCGTCTACAGAGTTTGTGGCTCAATGGCAAGCAAACGTAACACTTTCGGTTCACCTACGCTACGCAGCTGCTCGCATCTGTTCTTGGCACTCTCGGTGTAGGTTCACTTATGGTGCTGGAATTGCTTCGTAACTCCAGTTTGATAGAGGTGCGTCACGAAAAAAAGATGCGTACTTCACTGGTGAAACCGTCATGTTATTTTCTGAACTACTGTAACTGATGTGTAAACAAACATACAAGAAGTGCAACAGTTTATACAATCATTTGATGATAGTTGTTCTCTGATTTTCACACGCCTGCTCTCAGAGTCTCTCTATCGCCCGTCTCTGGTTCATACTACTGTGAGATCAGCCATTAAGACTTCACTTTGGAATGTGGTTCAACCCGGCCTCCGATTTCCAGTGATAAACAGGAGCTCCCGGAGAGAAGCAGGTGTTGTCGTTCAGCGTCTGAAATTACTAGTTGCTTCGAGTGATCTAGACGGTATTATTACGAAATGTAAGTGGAAACAACATTTATGTTACCGTACACCCATGTGAGTGGGACTTATGGGGTACACGCTATCGGTCGCAGCTATTTCCTGGAAAGTCGCCCTGCTTATAGTTGTAGTTATTTCCATGGTCTATTTTGTACCCTCTTTCCTTCGGAGCAGCCACCGTTTTTTTTTGGATAACAGATCAGATCCCCTCCATACTGTTTACCATATCGCTTTGGTGAACGTGCTAACTGAATGGGGAAAAACGGGAAAAAATTTCTCCAGTACCGTGTACGACCCCCTCCCAGGTACCGAATTGCGACTCCAATGATGATGTGCCTTGCTTCCGATCATTCAAGTTAACATCGTCGTGCGGCTTATGGACATCCTTCACATGTCAATTCCAAGTAGGGCAGGCCCCGTCGTTTGGGGCATTTGTGCAAAATCCGACCCCCTCCCCATCAAAATTTCTTCTGTTGGAATGACCTCATCCCCTTCTCGGTCACCCATTCTACCTACCCTTCCAACGTATGTAGCGCGCTCGAAACACAAACTAGAAACAGGAAAAACCAAAAAGTCAACAATCCAGAACATCTGCTCAAAGGCAAGGACGACCACCTCCCTCCAGCAATGAAATAAATACGACCGCCTCGCTTTGGCCCAACGTACGACATGGCCTAATTCCAGGACGTCCCTCTCTTCCCTGTTCTGTTGCTAACAGGGACTGCTATCGGTTCAGCAAATGACAGGCTGTGCGAGGGGTGGAGACCGGAGCAAAGCTAGGGCTCCCTTTTCCACAATTTGAGGCCATCCTGAGCTCGCAACAATCGGTACCACAATAGCTGAATTGGCTGAGCTCCAGTCCACACCGTTTCATGTGTTCTTTCATTTGCGGAGATAATATCGCCCAAAAAATTCATACTGAAATTGAATCAAGAGCGCGTCGATGTTTGGGGTGCAAAAAGATTGGTTGATTTTACAACATTTTTTTGGTATAAGAAATCGAATTTACTCTCTACGACACACTCTGGCTCATTCCAGTATGGGTAGAACATGAAAAGGAGAAGTTCGTCAAATGCAAGCAGTTACATAACGCTTGCCGTGGTCATATTTCAGCGATTCTCATGCTTCACCCTTTTTCCACGAGCTCAAATTCTCTTCCTCGTTCGGAGAAGGTGCAAGAAAACCGCTTGGTGGGTTTAGTAATAGATTTGGCCATGACGTCGCGCTCATAAGTATACAGCTGTAGAACGATACTCACGAACAGATACCTATGAAGTTTATTTCTATTGATTCGCGCAGGAAGGCACTCTCTCATGGCGCAGTTTGACGACGGGGGGGGGGGGGTGGTGGGGGAAGGAGATTTTGTATTATAATTGCTTAACTAGTTCCGATTTACATGTCTCTAGCAAAACCTA